TGTGATAAATAATTTTGTTTTTTTGGTACATGCCCCTAGTGGGAACCGAACCCGGGACTCTGTCCACAGGCCGACACTCCAACCACTGAGCCAAACCGACCAAGCCATGTGATAATTTTAGGGGGGTTTTCTTTAGACATGGTGGTCAGGGGAGACTTCCCTGAAGAGGTACCATGTGAGCCTGAGGGTGAGAAGCCAGCCATGCGAAGAGGGGAGAAGAAGCAACTACAGAGAGACAGGTAGGTGACTGGGCTCTGAGGAGGGACAGAGGAAATGTTCCAGTCACCAAAAGCAGGTCACGGTCACTGGAGCAGAGGACAGAGGGGCGGGGACATTCAGGACCTAAGAGGAAAGAGGCGAGCTGGGGCCATTGCACACTGGGCTTTGTAGGACTGTCCCAGTGTGCACAGTGTGCAGAACAGGTGTGACATAAAGGCGACGAGGCTGGACAAGTAACCTGGCAGTTGGAGAGGGACCACAGTTACCAAGATAGATGTCTGGACTCTCTTTTGCTCCCCCACCCACCTCCCTTAACCCAACACCTCTGCTGACCCAAGATTCCCAGGACCTAGGACCTAAAACGTGTGTGTGCGCGTGTGCGCGTGCGTGCAATGATGATGATGGTGGAACACTCAATGGCATTGGGGAAATCTTCAGCTCCAAGGTCAATCACAGCACTGGGGAACCAACTAGCCTGGCTCTTCGCTGAGAAGCGTATTAATAATTATCCATCGGGTGGCTGCAGCCCACTAATCACGACACTGCGACAGCACAGGATGGGCTGGTGCTCAGGACTGGTGAACTCTGTGAGCAGGGTAACAGATGCAGTGTCCAGAATTCTGAAACAGGGCGGCTCAGCCCACAGGGCAGAGGACCGCGGGAGGCTGAGGAAGCAGGGACGAGGAGATGGAGGGGAGGACACAGACACCACGTGGGCACTGTCTGAGCCTGTTGCTATGTGAAGCTTCACCTATACCCAGCATCTTGTTTGATCCTTCCACAACCCACGTGAAGGGCGCTATTTCCCCACTTTCCACTTGGGGATTTTCGACCCAGACAGGTCCAGATTGAAATCCAGATCTCCCCTTTCCTCCCTGAAATGCCCACCCAAGGTTTGGATTTCACCACCAGTAATTCGAAGGGCTTCTTTATCCACTCAGGACTTAACTAAGTCCGTATGCCCTGGATAATATGGGGAAGGAATGCTGAACTTGCTAGAACTCTCCAGAAACAGTGAATGCCCATGGGGTGACAAAGGTACTGGGAACTTGTGGACCCGTCTGACTGCTTCAAGGGGAGAATGTTTCTGAAACTATTGGACAGACCCATCTGTCCTGCATCCCCAAGAACACAGTGCTCAGTGTCCCTGCACCTCGCCACTCCGTTCCCTCCCCGGGGAATCAGGACATGTTTTACCGTGAGAGGCGGGCAGACCATCTGCAATGAAGGAGCCGCAGTCTGGCCCTGAGTCTATCTAGAGACCAGAACTTAAAACGTGGCCTTGGGAGGAAAGGAAAAAAGAGTGAGTTTCTTAGTTCCAGAACCTGCCACATCAGCTTCCAGCTTGAGCAGCTACATGGACTAAGTCAAGATAGGGGAAGAAAGGTACAGGAATAGCCTGGCCGGTGTGGCTCAGTGGTTGAGCATCAACCCACACACCAAGAGGTCACCGGTTCGATTCCCGGTCATGGCACATGCCCAGGTTGTGGGCCTGATCCCCAGTGGGGGGCATGCAGGAGGCGGCCAATGGATGTTCTCTCTCATCGATATTTCTCTCTCTCTCCCTCTCCCTTCTTCTCTCTCTAAAATCAATAAAGAAAAAGAAAAGGAAAGAGAGGTGAGGGAAGAGAAGGGCCAGGACTAGTGAGGGACACGAGGCACAAAATGTGTGTGCCAAAAAACTCAGTGATCAAGATAAAGAATGTTTTAATGCAGTGATTTTTTAAAAATAAAAATGAAAGCCAAAAAACAGAATCGATGATGAGCAAGATCAGTATCATTGATTTTCCATTTGCTTCAGTACAGCTCGGCTCAGCACTGTTACCGACCCTGTCTTGATTTCAAATTGCTCTGTTTTAAATCATAGAGCTTTTGCATTCCCTTTTTTTCAGATATTACAGTAAAGTATGATTTGGGTTTTCAGCGCCCCATTAAATGCTGCGCCTGGCACGAGGGCGCCCCTAGCCTCTCCCCAGTCCTGGCGCGAAGAGCAGGTGTGGGGAGAGCAGGCTAACTAAAACTCAGTCTTGGACATATGCAGAGGCCAAATGAGACCGCAGACATTAAGAGCCCGAACAGAGCAGGCCTTCAGCACAGGTTGTAGTGGATGGGCTCTGTGGGGCCCTCGCCCACTATTTGAGGGCCTGCCAGCCACCAGGACCTGCACTTCTTGCCTGAAGACTATCTTGGCCCCCAAGCGAGATCGGCTGGACCTGATAGATAATTAACACCCCTGGAGCAGCCCTCAACCGATGCTCCCCAGGAGCCAGTGTATTAATACCCCAGTCCCTCACCCTCAGATGGGGTAATTCTGAGATGTACGTGTTCTACCATTTCCCAGAGCCCCAGGTGAGATTAAGCTCCATCGCCCACACTGTGACTTGATAATACACCTCTAAGTTCCTCCGTCCCTTCCTCATCTCACTTCCTCAGCCTCCTCCTGGTGCGTCCCAGGGTCACCTCTCAAATACGCTCCAATTCTTGTCTCCGGGGCTTCTTCTAGGGCAACCAAACAAAAATACACCTGTGTCCTTTCTGCCCTCATTCTTGTCTCTGTGGATACGTAGAACGTTCCACATAAACTTGGAAGTCTGAGCATGCTCCAGAAGGAGAGACCCCTGACTCCAGCACCCTCTGGGGAGGGAAGTCAATAGCAGGGTAATTGTCAGCCATCGCTGGGAGGCCTGGATCTGAAATGGGCTCCGACGTGTTTCTGTAACGTCTGCACCTTGAGCTGAGAAATCATTGGCGGACACCTTTCCTGGCCATTAATTCTTTTACAACCAACACAGCCCTTGGGGCAAAAACCGACTGTCTGCCACCACTGCCAGCCTGGCCCGAATTCAGAACAGGAGGCATGACGCTCCCTCCGCCCTCTCTACAACCACCCCTCCCCCTGGTGTCGCCTCACCCACCCCGGAGCCCAGGAAGGCCCAAAGGCTGTTTGCACAGACCGGAGGAGAAGAGAAACGGCCCTGACCCCGAGGGACTAAGGGTTGAAGGCCATGGGGTTAAAAATCAGGGAAGGCAGAGACTTTTCTCATGCTTTCTTTTTAGAAAATCTTTTTTTCAGCACCTACACTTTCCCCCGGGATCTCCAGTGACACCTGCAGGAACCTCATGCGCAGGTATGATCATGACGCCCATTTCACGGGTGAAGAGGCGCTGAGGAGCGAAGTGTCTCAGCTTAGTTAGGTGACAAAGAGTCTCTCCTTGACCAAACTGTCGTCAGGCTCCCCAGAACTCTCTTCCCAACTAGGCCTGACTTTCGGGCTTCGGTGTTGTCTCTCCTAATGTGCAGTTTTAGCGAGCATCCTGCTAAGTTGGGTTGGCCAGAAGACCCACCCTCGATATATGATTTGGTTCCTCATCCTCCACCATCTCCCAGGTAATGTCTAATTTTCCATCCACTGACACTTCCCACCCTGCTTTTAGCTATGCATGACCATGTTTCCTTATTGTGTTCACAGCTGAACTCAATCTCTCCCCTACTGCAAAATCCCACTGCAGTGGTCCCTACACCTATCTAAATAGTCCCCTGAACAATATCTGCCTGACCACTTTCTAACCAGCATAGTGAATAATGTTTTCTTTAATACAGGTCACATAGAGAGTAAGTCAATTTGGACTCAGGTCTGTTTGAGTCCAAAGGCCATTCTCTTCCCTATGTCATATGTTCTCATCCTTTGGTAAACTTCTCCTGAGCACCTACTATGAGCCAGGCCCTTTTGAGATCATAGGAGGACACAAGAATAAGAAAGACACATTTTTTCCCTCTAAGAGGGATAAATAAAATGCTCCCCATTCTGCTCATTCTTTTTTTTTTTTTTAATCCTCACCCGAGGACATTTTTCCATTTTTTATTCAGATAGAGTGGAAGGGAGAGAGAGGAAGAGAGAGAGAGAGAGAAACATCGATGTGAAAGGGACACATCGAGGGGCCGCCACCCACACAACCCAACCAGGGCCGGGGACAAACTGCAGCCAAGGTACATGCCCTTAGCGGGAACCGAACCCAGGTCTCTCTGGACCGCAGGCTGACGCTCTAACCACTGAGCCAAACCGGCCAGGGCCATTCTGCTCATTCTCTACCCCAGGGGGCAGTGCCTATTATGACGTGTATCCAGGCTCTGGGGGCTTAGCATTACAGGGGCAGATCTGAGTAGATGCAACAGAGACCATCGAGCCATAAAGCAAAAGTATTCACCGCCTGGCCCTTTACAGAAAAGTCTGTTGATACGTCTCCAGGCATCGAAGATGCACCACCTTAGTTACTTCTCAACTCAACTCTACGAGGCTCACCCTATTATGATGTCCATTTTACAGATGAGGAATGAGGCTCAGATGCATGAGATGACTTGGCACACTGCTGGAAATATAGACTCCCAAAGCCCTCAACACTCATTTGTGGGAAATATGAAGTTATTTAAACAGCCTTAAGGGCACAACCAGGACCAATGGGTAGACAATTCAAGGTTGTAATTTTTTACTTTCTTTTTTTTTTATTTTATCCTCACCTGAGGACATTTTTTTTTTCTATTTCTTGTTCAGATAGAGTGGGAGGAAGAGAGAGGAAGAGAGAGAGAAACATCAACGTGAAAGGGACACACTGAGTGGCCGCCTCCCGCACGACCCAACCAGGGCCGGGGACAAACTGCAACCGAGGTACATGCCCCTAGTGGGAACCAAACCCAGGTCTCTCTGGACCGCAGGCTGGTGCTCTAACCGCTGAGCCAAACCAGCCAGGGCTAATTTTTTACTTTCTATAAAGAATTTACTCACAGTGAGAGATGTCCAAGAACGGACTTGGCCGCCTGGTTAGGCAGTGAAGTCTCCATCAGGGGAGGTGTTCAGGTAAGGGCCAGATAACCTGTGGGTGAAGAAGAGCTTGGCAATTCGAAGATTTGGATTCGAGGAACTGCAAAGGTCTTCTATCTCTCAGCTCTGTTGACTCAGGGATGAGGAAGCCAATGGAAATGTATCTACCACCGTAATCACACCGACAGCCACCAGGTGGCAACAGAGCCCCATCTTAGGCACCCAGAAGCAATTTTTCGCCTACTGAAAAGTAACTGGAAACCCAAAAACATTAACAACTAAATGATTCAGACAAATTAACATTCATAGGCAAAGACTATGAATCAGGTCTAGGGGAGAGCTTTAGTCCCCAGCACGACCTAAAAGTCTCAGAATCAAGTAAGTTATAAAGTTTCTGAAAGATTTATCATCCTTTGAAAACATTTTCCATCAAAGTACAACATACATACATACAGGAAAGTGGACAACTCATAAATGTACACCTCAATGAATTTTCAGAGCACCCCCGCGAAACCAGAATAGCTCAAGAAACAAAATATGACCAGAACCCCAGAAGCCCACCGCACCCCGACTTCTCACACCATATATTCGTTTCGCTTGTTTTTAGTTTTACATACATGGAATCATACAGTATGCCTCCTTTGAATCTTGTTTTGATAGCTACACTAGCAAAATCCACTGATTTTCCTGCGGATCCCTGTGGTTCATTCTCATTGCTGTGTAGTGGTGTTTGGTGTGAATACACCAGTTGATTTGTCCCCTCTCCTGTGGTGGTGCATCCGAGTGGTTTCCAGTTTGGGGGCTACTACACATAACGCTGCTATGAATTTCAAGTACACTCCTTGTGGAGAGGGCACACACATTTCTGCTAGGTCATAGGGGAGACAATGCTTTAGTGGACAATTTACAATCCCACTGCCGATGTATGAGAACTCCGGCGGCTCCGTAGCCATACCAAACTTCTCCGTCTAGGTAAGTTTTGGCGGAAGAAATGTGGGATCTGCAGTGAGCATTCCTGTAGCCCTCTGGGCCCTCCATGCAGCGGTGTCTGGACAGTAGGAGTGGGTGGGCACACACCAGGAGGAGGAAGATTCCACCCCACCAGTACATCCTGATGAGCCCTTCAGCACACTGATACCTGCTGAATGAAGATCCCCACTTCACATGCTCCAAGCAATTGCCAGAGTGGTGCAGCTCTCATCTGAGCACTGACTGTGTGCCAGACACTCTCCTCGGTGCTGAGGACACGACAGTGAAGATCTAGACACCCCTGCCCTAATGAAGCTTAGGTGTGAGTGGAGCTGGGGGAAGACAGTAAATAAATATATGTCAGGTGATGAACTTTATCTATAAAGAAAAACAAAACGGCAAGAAGATATAGAGTGCAGAGAGGATGCTATTTTAAAATGGGTGGTCACAATATCACCTCATACCTGTTATCAAAAAGACAAGACACAAGAAGTGTTGGCGAGGCTGCGGAGAAAAGGGAGCCCTTGTGTCCTGTTGGTGGGAATGTAAATTGGTGCAGCCATTACGAAAAGCAATATGGAGGTTCCTCAAAAATTAAAATAGAACTACCAAATGATCCAACAATCCCACTTCTGGGTATGTATCTGAAGAAAGGAAACCACTATCTCAGAGAGATATCTGGACTCCCATGTTCGTTGTAGCATCATTCACAACAGTCAAGACATGGAAACAACCTAAGTGTCCATCAATGGATGAATGGATTTTTTAAAATGTGGTATTTATATACAATAGAACATTACATAAAAAAGGAAATCTTGCCCTTTGCAACAACATTAATGGATCTTGAGGGCATTATGCTAAGTGAAATATAAATCAGACAGAAAAAGAGAAATAATGCATGTTCTCACTAATATACAGAATCTTTAAAAAGCCACTCATAGAAATAGAGTTGAATGGTGGTTGCCAGGAGCTCAGGGATTAGGGAAATTGGAAAATGTTGGTCAAAGGATACAAACATGCCTTGGCCACTTTGACTCAGCAATTAGAGCATCAGCCAGGGGACTGAAGGATCACAGGTTCAATTGCCCGTCAAGGACATGTACCAGGCCCAGGTCGGAGTCATGTGGGAGACAACCAATGTATCTCTCTCATATCAATGTTTCTCTCGCTCTTTCTCTCTCTCTCTCCCTCCCTCCTTCCCTCTCTCCCTTCCACTCTCTCTGAAATTCAATAGAAAAATATCCTCGGGTGAGGATTAAAAATTAAATAAAAGAAACAAAGGATACACACTTTCAGTTATCAGATGAGTAAGTTCTGGGGTAATGAACAGCATGGTGACTATAATGAACACTACTGTATTATGTACTTGAAAGTTGTGTAAGAGAATAAATGTTAAATGTTATCACCACACACTCAAAACACTGGTTATTATGTGAGAAGATGGAGGTATTAACTAACCTTATTGTGATAATCATTTTGCAACATACACGTATATCAAATCATCACATTGTACAACTTAAACTTACATATGTTGATGTCAACATCTCAATAAAGCTGGGCAAAAAAATGAAACAAAATGAGTGGTTACAGGAGTGATAAGGTGACTCTGAGCAGAAACCAGAAGTGAATGAACAAACCACAGGAAAAGAGACACAGGGAACCAGTCAGTGCAAACACCCAGCGGCAGTGTATCGCATTGCTGAAATAGCATCCCAGGGCCCCTAGTTTTACAAATTGGTCCTCTTGATTGTCAAATAGATTTCTAGGAGTAAGGTGACTGGGTCAAAGCCTTTGTGAACTGTTTGTCAGTTGATCACTACCTATTTGAAACCCTTTCCTCTCTTGGCTTCTGTGACACCATAGTCTAGTTTCTTTCCCTACCTCTCTAGCCACTCCTTCCCAGTCTCATTTTCCTGTATTTAATTAAATTTCGGAGTTCCTGCAGTCGGCAGAATGCTCCCCTCCCCCAAGACGTCCAGGTCCTAATCCTCAGAATCCGTGAAGATACTACCTTAAATGGCAAAAGGGACTTTGCAGATATGATTTAAATCAAGGCCTTTTCTTGAGATGGCATGAGCTTGGATTATGCAGGTGGGCACAATTATGTTAAATCGCTGGGTGCTTGTAAGAGGAAGCCAGGAGACTCCGTCAGAGAAGATACGGCAATGGAAGCAGGGGTCAGGGTCGGAGCGCTGAGTTGTAAGGTCTCAACCAAAGTTAATGGTTTTGAAGATCGTGGCAGGGGCCACAAGCCAAAAAATGCAGTCTCTGGAAGCTACAAAATACAAGGGAACAGCTCCTCCCCTAGAGCCTCCAGAAGGAATGCAGCCCTGCTAACACTTGATCTTAACCCAGTGAACCATTTCAGACTTCTGACCTCCAGAACAACAAAATAATAGTTTTATGTAAACCACTAAGTTGGTCATTTGTTACAGCAACCATATGACACAGTCCCCCAGCGTGTAGGAATTCCCTTCTGCTCTCCATCTAAATTTATTCTTAGGGTTTTCGTCAAGTTTGGGACAAACTCACAAGTTTGTATCTCTGGTCCACTGTGTGCATTTTTTTTCCACTTGACACTAATAGATTTATTTGTTCAGAGGTTCTTAATGTAAGCATTTTACCAGGCTTCTGCCATCGGCCCAAATTCATGTACTCAGTAAGAAAAAAAATTGTATATTCACAGTTAATCATACTCTAGTCATTTAATGTTCTCAGTATATCGCTCAATACCAGATATTTAAATTGTCTGATATATCCCCACTCTTTGTGAGTGGTGAAACCTTATTTTCCTCCCACTTCTGGTCGAAACCTCTGGTTAATCCTTGAACACTTAGCACACAAGAGAAGCCCATTCTCAGCATCACACATCCCCTCACTGTCAAAACAAACACATCAGGGGGTGATTCAACACAACTAGGGGAGGGGAAGAGCTATTGGCATCTAGCAGGTAGACTGTCAGCCAGGTTTGCTGCTAAACATCCTACAATGCACAGGACAATCCCCAGCAACAAAGAATTATCTGGCCCCAAGTGTCAATAATGCTGAAGCTGAGCAACCCTGTCTAGATGAATCCTATACAGGAGTTTTTCAACAAGGGTTTGGATTAACCTGGCAACATTTAATCCAACATCCCAACTGGAATGTACATTCAGTTTGATCACCTCATAGGGTTCTCTCAATCATCTGATTCACATTTGTTTCAAACTCTCACTGAGAATTTCCAAATTCTGTTTCTGGAGTGACCCCTACTACAATCACTCCATTCCATCAACATACTTGAAATGCCATGTTCTCCCAACATCCATTCAAGTTGAGACAGCTTTTGGAATGCAACATTTTTCAGACATAAGTCAGCAAAACCTATCTGAATCCAGTTTGCACTCACTCCGAATCACAGGGTGCTTGGGAAATTCTTTTGGTTTCCAGCTAACGTGTGCGAGAATATCCATTGGATTGAAAGCAATTGTAGACTCTAGACTGTCCTTTACAATCTGGATAACTTGGGATTCAAAGTTATTAACTCTCTTCTGGATCAGATTGAGGAGACTCTCCCTCTCTCGCTGACAGACTCCTGTAATTACCTCCACAATTTCAGACTGAGCAGTGAAGTGATCTTTATCTGCCACAATTGTAGGTGTCTAAAGATATGAGCTCCCAGGCTGTCCATCCATCATTTCTCCTTGAGTTGTTCTTCTAAAATATCGAGAGCTTAAGTTAGATCATTAGCAAGACTCCATAGAAGGCTGATGGCCCAACACTCCCTTCAGTGATAGTTGAGACTGTTCCCTCTAATGTAGCCAGTGCTATGCAGGTTGTGGGGTTTTGGGTTTTTTGTTTTTTTTTTCGTTTTTAATTAAATTTATTGGGGTGACATTGGTTAATAAGATTATATGAGTTTTGCCCTGGCCGGTTTGGCTCAGCGATTAGAGCATCAGCCTGCGGTCCAGGGAGACCCGGGTTTGGTTCCCGCTAAGGGCATGTACCTCGGTTGCCATTTGTCCCTGGCTCTGGTTGGTCATGCGGATGGCAGCCACTTGATGTGTCCCTTTCACATCGATGTTTCTCTCTCTCTTTCTTCCTCTTTCTCCCTCCCACTCTATCTGAACAAAAAATGGAAAAATGTCCTCAGGTGAGGATTAAAAAAAAAAAGTTTCAAGTGTACAATTCTATAATACATCATCTGTATATTGCATTGTGTGCTCACCACCTAAAATCTAGTCTCCTTCTGTTGCACATTTTGACCCCCCTGGGTTTTTTTTGTTAAGAGTAGCCACTGGGCTCTGGGGAAGGAGGTGAGAGGAAATGGAGGACAACGCTAGCTGCATCTTCCTCTTTAAATGAACAGCAAAAAGGGAGGAAGCGACACCCCACTCCACATATGCATCCTTTAATAAGCCCTACCCCACCACCTTCCCAGAAAGAACGTTCAGTCCCACCAACACTATACGAGTGCCATTTTCTGGTTCACATCTAGCCAATAATGAATTTTAACAAATTTCAAAATATTGACAATTTGATGAGTATAAAAAATGTTATCACACTGTTGAATTCTCCTTTCTCCTATTATATTCTATGAATTAAAAAAAAAAAAAGATACACCTGCCCTGGCCTATTTGGCTCAGTATTTAGAGTGTTGGCCTGAAGACCGAAGGGTCACGGGTTTGATTCCCAGTCAAGGGCACATACCTGGGTTGCAGGTTTGATACCCAGACCTGGTTGGGGTTGTGCAGGAGGCAACCAATCAATGTGACTCTCTCACATGGATGTTTCTCCCTCTTCTCTCTCTCTCTCTCCCTCCCCCCCCTTCCACTCTCTCTAAAAAAGTCAGTGGGAAAATATCCTCGGGTGAGAATTAACAAATAGAAAAAATGCTTAAAGATACCACCTATGTCTTTTCTCTAACTTTAAAGACAGTATAGAGCCTTTGCCACTAGATGCCAGTATTAACACTTGCCATGGCTCAGTCTTGACAACCAACCCGCCTCCACACTTTGCCAAATGTCCCCTAGGGGGCGAAATCACCTCCCTTCAACCAGAAGCTGAAGACTATCAAGACTGCACTGCTCAAGGAGAGATGGAATATATGGACGTACCTAATCGACCAGTATTCTCTCAGTGGTTCCCTCTTCTCTCTTCTGTGACGCCATGCTCTCCTGGTCTTTCCCCTCCCTCTCTAGTCTCCTTTCCTGCACTTAAGTTTCAGAGAGTACTCAGGGTCTCCGCCTCTCCGCCTCTCCATTATACTTACTCCGCTGGCGTTTTCATTTAGTACCCCAGCTTTAAGTGGCACCGCTAGTGATAATTGTAAAAATGTATATTTCTGATACATAAATACGGTGCTTTCCAAACCAATGGGGGGAGGAATGAGACTGGGACAACGGACTCTCCATATGGGGGGGGGGTGCGCACCTCTAGGAGGGCCAAGGGCCTTGGCCGTGTTCCCTTTGTGAACACCTACGGCAAGCGTTGGATTGCCGTGTACACAACACGCAACAGGTGACTCCAGCTGCCAGTGCTCCAGGAAAGCCCTAAAAAGCAATAGGGGGACGTGCAGGGAGGCGGTGAAAGCTGGTAATGGTGAACGAGACCACGAGAAATAAGAAGGCAGCAGGGATGTGAGATGCCAGCCGAGTGACAACGTCGGATTCTGTGAAATGAGCGCGTTTCCCACCCCGCACAACGAGAGCCAATCCGTGGAGGAAATGCGCAGCCTCATTTAAGGAACCAATCGGAGACCAAGGAGACCTATTATGACAACCTCGAGGACCAATGAAAAACGGGGATCCTCCTAGCCTGCCTCCCAAGCGCCAGTCCCGAAGAGATCACACAGAGGAAGATTTCTAGAAGGTACAAATTAGAAGACGAGCCCACGTCTGGACGACAGGATACTACGCTTACAAAGATGGGTTGGGAGAATTCTGTGAGCAAGTAGAAGAGCACTTCCTCGAAACCACGCGGGCGGCGGACCCGCAAGTCACCCTCGAGCCGAGGGCTGCAGCGCGGGAGGGGAGCGGGAGGGACGTGCTGCGTGCTGACGTAACGCGCCGGGCCCCGCCCCTGCCGCCCGCCCTTATAGCGTAACACTGGCGCGCGCGCACACCATTGTGTGGCTGGAGTTGGCCGCCGCTGCCGTGGAAGGCGCGTGTTTGGACTTTTGACGTCCCCTCACCCGCACCGCGGCTTCTGCCTAGCGGCCCACCGTCTGATAGACAGCCCTCGGGCCCCTCGGCCGCCACGGACATGCCGCGCGTCTACATAGGGCGCCTTAGCTACCACGTCCGAGAGAAGGACATTCAACGTTTTTTCAGTGGTTATGGCCGCCTTCTCGAGATAGACCTCAAAAATGGGTGAGTCGGTCCTGGACGCCTGCGTTATCCCGCAGTGCTTCGAACCTCGCGGTGCCGCAGCACTCGAAAAGGAAAGGGGCAAGGCCGCGGCGCCGCGTCGCACGGCCTCCAAAATGGCGGCGGCGCGGCACCACGGGTGCGCGCAAGGGGGCGGGGGCCGAGTGCGCGTGCGCGGCCCCGTCCTAACGACGCCCCGCCTGTTCCCGGCCCTCGCACCGCCCCCTAGGTACGGCTTCGTGGAGTTCGAGGACTCCCGCGACGCCGACGACGCCGTTTACGAGCTGAACGGCAAGGACCTCTGCGGCGAGCGCGTGATCGTGGAGCACGCCCGGGGCCCGCGCCGCGATCGCGACGGCTACAGCTACGGAAGCCGCAGTGAGTCCCACCCCCGTGCGCTCCGCGCCTTTGGGACCGGGGGGAGGGGGCAGGCATAGAGGGGGCGGGGTGGGGCCTCCCAGCCCGGGCGGACGCGGTGGGCGGGGTCGTTTGACTCGGGTGTCCCAGGGACCCGCTGCCTTCACGCCTGCCCCGGGCAGCCACGGGACGCCGGAGCGCGGAGATTGGGTCGTGGGGTTTGCTTAGTCTGAGTTTGGGTGTTTGGGGGTTTTTTTGCTAAGTTGGGAGGGGGTGGCTTGTCTGGGCCCCTGTCAGCACTGTCGTGGGCTCTGCCCACCGAGGAAGTGAGGGATGGCTGTATTTGTTGTTATTCCCTTTGCTTACCTGTCAGTGCATTAGCTAGAAAAGTGAATGTCTTAGTGTAGAAGTTTGGGGGCAGGCTGGGGTGGAGGTGGGGTGGAGACGGGGAATGGGAAGGGGGTTAAGTTTAGGTCTTAGTTATTAAAATTGGCGGGGGCCAAAGAAAATAACTATTTTGAACTAATGTGGTATTTACCACAAGTAGAGCTAAATAAGCTTTATGCTGTATTTGAACTAATTGGGGGCATGTTATTGGGAGGAGGTGGGGGGGTTGGTTATGTTAAATGTTTGATGTTGAAATTGTTGCATGTTGAATTCAAACTTTTTAACAAGTCCTTGATGTTTCAATTTGAAAGTGACCAATGGGGCTGAGGCTGTGTCCACTGAGGCTAAGATGACTGCCTTTCCTGATTGGCCTTGGCTTTTCCATACATTGTGTGACCCTTGCCCTATGACCCTTTGGCTGACCTTACCGGAAGCCATGACGACAGCAGCCTTTTGCCATTAGACGCAGGGTGATGGTGAGGATTCCAAGGGTTAGACAAAACTGGTTAATCTGAACTAGGTGACTGTTACCTTGCGTGTTTTGTGGCCAAACCACCACCAAAAACCTCACACTGTGATGTAAGTACTTAGTGTAACTAGTAAACATTTTTGTAAAATGTAGAAATGCATGTAATCAGTTAAGTTTTATATTTTACAATGTTCTGTAAAATAAAACTTAGCGAGGTAAATTGAATAAAGGAGCAGTCACTCTCTAACAGATTGTAGGAGAAGTTTAGTTGGATTTAGTCTATTTGGCTCGCCCTTAATTTAATTTGTGGCAAATCACAACTGTATCAAAGGTTTAGCAATATAATAGCAAAGTCCTACTCCAGTAAATAAAAGTTGATATGTTTGTACTAACTTTCAAAAAACATGTCTCTATCATTACAAGGCATCTAATTGTTTTCTTCATGTGATAAAGGTGGTGGAGGTGGATACAGCAGTCGGAGAACTTCTGGCAGAGACAAATATGGACCACCTGTTCGTACAGAGTTCAGACTTATTGTAGAAAATCTTTCTAGTCGCTGCAGTTGGCAAGATTTAAAGGTATGTGCTGTAATTAGAAATGAAAGTGATACTAGTGTGTAAATGGTAAGCTCTTGTTTTATTTATTCCTGAAAGTCGGGTGTAATGTGTAGATCTTTTTCTTTAGATTTTAGGATCTGACCTGTCTTGTTGCTTTTTTAGGATTTCATGAGACAAGCAGGTGAAGTAACCTATGCGGATGCTCACAAAGAACGCACAAACGAAGGTGTGATTGAGTTTCGCTCCTACTCTGACATGAAGCGTGCTTTGGATAAACTAGATGGTACAGAAATAAATGGCAGAAATATTAGGCTCATTGAAGATAAAGCACGAACAAGCCATAGGCGGTCTTATTCTGGAAGCAGATCGAGGTAATTTGAAGGATAATGGAGAGGGGAAGAAACAATATTAGCCAAAAACAAAGAATGATTCAAATGGTGGTATCTTAATTGAACTTAGGTCAGGTTTTGGCTGTATCATTGAGTTCTTTTCCAAATATTTTGGCAGTGGGTTTAAATTGTTGTAAGCAATTACTTTTTTTTTTTGGTTGGTTTGTCTATTTTTCATAAGTGGCACAAACATCTTAAGGTGCGTTGAGATTAAGATTTTGTTGGTGGTTCTCATAGGTCACGGTCTAGAAGGAGGTCACGAAGTAGGAGTCGCAGGAGCAGCCGCAGTAGATCTCGAAGTGTCTCCAAAAGTCGCTCCCGGTAAATAATTTTGGGTCTCTTTCTGAATGTTACTGTACTGTTTGTGAAGTACTTATGTGTTCTGGCGAGGTATTGAAAGAAAAACCTGGCTTTTTTTTTTTTTTTTCCTTTGTTCAGATCCAGGTCTCGAAGCAAAGGTCGATCACGTTCTCGGTCAAAAGGCAGGAAATCTAGATCAAAAAGCAAATCAAAGCCTAAGTCTGATCGGGGCTCCCGTTCACGCTCTCGAAGCAGGTCTAAGGATGAGTATGAGAAATCTCAAAGCAGGTCTCGTTCTCGATCTCGTTCCCCCAAAGAAAATGGAAAAGGTGATATAAAGTCAAAATCTAGATCGAGGAGCCAGTCTCGCTCCAATTCTCCCCCACCTGCTCCACCCTCAAAGGCTCATTCTGTGTCCCCTCCACCAAAAAGAGCTTCAAGATCTCGTTCTAGATCCCACTCAAAGTCAAGGTCACGGTCCAGATCGAGTTCCAGAGATTAGCCCAGAACTCTATGTTCTTTGCACACTATTATGGAACACTTTTCCTACTTGCTTAGGCAGTTACTCTTCCATGTTTGTACTTGGCCTCTTCTGCAAGAGGAATCTCCTGAAAACAAGGGCACACAGAAATTTGATTTGTGGCCAAATTTGATGAAAAAGATGGGGTTCTAAAGAAATGGTGGCATGAAGACCTCCTCCCTTCTTTGTAGAATTAAGATAACTTTGATTTTATAGCTTTTGAGCTAAAATAACTTTTGTAAAGATTAAGCTCATTTAGATTTTTTTTTTTTTTTTTTAAGTATTTCAGCAGGATCTGCTGCAGGGGTTTTGTTTTATTTGTTTGCTGACTTTTAAATTTAAACTGTTTCAAGCTTTGGATACTTAAGGCTTTAGAGGGAGAACCCATTTTTCAATTATGTTGGCTTTTATATAAAGCCTGAGTTATGTAAGATTTCAATAAAAGTTTGCTACCAAGATGATTGCCTTATTGAATAGGTCGCTATTAATTCCTTTAAATATTGATATCTACTGTTTGTGGAAACAATGTAAATTCTACTTAAATGTAAAACAAGGCAAGCCTCAGACCAGCAATAAATTATTCAATTTGGATAACATTATTTTGTTCTGTTAATCAAATTTGCCAAAGTCATTGTATCTGCCCATTTAACAAGTTAGGTTATAAATAAAATATTTTGTAGTCAATCTGTTATACAATTTTGCCTAAATTAAATAATGAAACCTATTTTTTTTTATTTTGATGCTTTTTAATTTAGATGTTTCTAAGAAATGGGTTGTTTTGTTTTGTTTTGCCCAATATAAATTGCAGAATTTCAGAGAAGAAACTGGTGCCTGTAATTATAGTTCGTTATTTTGCAGATTTGAAAGAACAAGTTAATGATTTGGGAAGAGGCAAGCCTCCACTGCTTTTCAGAATTAGGTGTTTAAGGACACATTAGTTTAAGACTTGGCTTTGACCAAAGTTCTCTTGTTTTTAGGGAAAGAACAAAAGCTTTTAGGAGAGGGTGGGGAATGTTACAAGGTGAAATTTGACTCTCAAAGTATGCAGCATCCTCGTGTTAATCTTACATCACATGTTGTAATAGGCAGGTTTGTCTACACTGTTAGCTGGCCTGTAGTGAATATAGGTAAATTACTGCACTCGTATAATTTTTCTAGTAATAGCAAAGACCATCTTAACTGAAAATCTAGTCTTACTCCATACCTGTGGACCTCCATCATTAGATAGCTAAACCACTATAACATTGGCCCACTTGAGAACACAGTTTCGTTCCTTGCCAACTTGTGAGTTGAATCAGACAGTCTCTACAACATGCTACATATTGATCTGTGACTGGATGGTGTATTAAGCTGATAGAGAGCAAAAGAAGTGAGCAACATCTTGATTCCCCTTTCTTTTACCTGACTGTTTATTGACACCATAGTGCCTTTATGGCCAGTTTAAGTCCTGCCTGCTCCTGTGCTACCATCTTTCGTCTTTGGTATCTTTCTCCCACTTTGTTAACCGATTTTTGCTTTATCTCCTCAATAAAATACTTACTGAGGGAAAGGCTTGTTTTGAATTTATTGTGTATTCCCACTTAGTGCCAAATTCTTGGCAAGTGGTCTTTAGAATTGGAGTTGCTATTCCTGATTTGAATGAGAAAAGGGATCTAGTTTTCCACTCCTCAATGATTTTGGGATAAACTGAGTTGTTTTGTGCTTCAGTGTCATCTGTGAAGTGGTAGGGATAAACCCTCATGGGTTGTGAAGATTAAAGGTTAGCATATAAAAAGTACTCAGAACAGTACCATAATAATTACTATCTGCTAGCTATTAGAAAGGAATATAAACACCAAATCATTTTTGTATTGACTGTTTTATTTTCACAAATTTACACATTTTTGTCTTATAGCAACTTGAACATTCTCCATGACAACTGGTTCTCAGGTAAACTAGGAAGCATTAATCATTTCTCAAGGCCTTAATTTAGATTTGGAGTGCTGGAAACTTTTGTGGTTTATACTTAGAAACCATCACATTTTTATTTACCTTTCAGAAAGCATTTTCTGACTTTGTCCAATTTTAGTCCTGTGGCAGTGGAGTGTTTTAATTTCTAATTATGAAAGTAATGTGTACTTGTACTAGTAAGTACCTCCTTTAGGGCCCACTTACTAAGGTAGCTGCCATTATCTGTATCTAGTCTTAATACCTATTTCCTTCAAAAAGCTATTCATACCACGAGTAGTGCTGCAACTTGTTTTTACTTAATATATATTAATACATCGATCTTTACATCACGGATTAGTATGCTATAGAATGGATGTATAATTACATTTTTCAAGTCTGTAATCCTTTTATGTGACAGCATGAAAAACAAATTACTAAATACTCAATTTCATACAATGAAACTTTTTGAGTGCTTATACATAGTTTAGTAACCTGATAATTAGTGTAATTATCAGTTTACACTAATTTAGTTTTCTGAAGCAGCAGCCATATCCTGAATAAGGTATATTTGTATCTCAACCACCATGTGTGATTTTTTTTATTTTTTATTTATTTGTTTTTTTGTTTTACAGATGCTTCTCATTTTTCCCCCATTGACACCCTCCTCCCCTTCCCCGCCCCCCTGCCTCATCCCCAGCTTTGTTGTCTATGTTGGTACAGACTGAGGCTTGTCACTCTGTACCCCACCTCTATGTACCATGTGTGTTTTCATTTGTTTTATTTTTTTCCTTTGTTGATTTTTGAGAGAGAGGAAGGGAAAAGGAGATGGAAACATCAATGAGAGAGAACGTTGACCCACTGGGGTTTTGGCCTGCAGGCTGGGCATGTGCCCTGACTGAGAATTGAACCAACAACCTCTTGGTGCATGGGTCCATGCTCAACCACTGAGCCACACTGGCTGGACTCCATTTGTTTAAAAGAATTAGTTATGCAATTTTGTAATTGATCTTTTAGAATCTAAATAGCTTGTTTAGAATTACCTGGCTATCTTATAGCAACCTCACAGTTGGGCCTCCAGAATAGTACTTAATAAAGTGATTAACTTCACTCTTGAATAGAAAGGAATAGAGGTTCAAAAATCAGAGGAGCACCTGGTCCGTGTGAATCACTGGTTGAGCGTCAACCCATGCACTAAGGTCACTGGTTTGATTTCCAGTCAGAGCATTTGCCCAGGTTGTGGGCCTGATTCCCAGTAGAGGGCTTGCAGAAGGCGGCAAATTGATACTCTCTCTCTCATCCATATTTCTACCTCTCACCCTCTCCCTCTAATATATCAATAAAGAAAAAAAACTGGTAGCTGTAAAACCCCTCTACTTAAAAAAAAAAAATTAGAACAGCAACAGTATAATCAAGAAACCAGGCCCTGGCCAGTTTGGCTCAGCGGTTAGAGCATCGGCCTGCGGTCTGGAGAGACCCGGGTTCGGTTCCCGCTAAGGGCACGTACTTCGGTTGCGGTTTGTCCCCGGCCCTGGTTGGTCGTGCGGGTGGCAGCCACTCGATGTGTCCCTTCACGTCGATGTTTCTCTCTCTCCCTTCCTCTCTCTCCCTCCCACTCTATCTGTACAAAAAAATGGAAAAATATCCTCGGGTGAGGATTAAAAAAATAAATAAAAAAGAAACCAGGATTATTTATGCATTCTTTTGGAGGTGTAAATCTAGAAGGAGTCCCATTCCTCAGTTTCATTATGGCTTCTTTGAATTTATAAAGGCAAGTGATAATATAGCTCACAGTAGGAGACTATAATTAAATTTATATTATTAACAATCATATTTATACCCACCTTTGAAGTCATTTCTAAGGAACTAGGTCAGTATTAGCAGGAAGATTTACAAACAGGGTTCCTAACAGCCCTAAAGCATTAAAATTGCAACTCCTCTTAGTGGAAAAGACTCGAGAAATCAGGATAAAGAGGCTCAGAAAGTAAATAGACTAATTTATTTAAACTTGAAAAACTTTTATTACAAAGCTACCTTTTCCCATTCACCAATTATTTTTTGTTTCATTTACACATTTATTTTTTCCTGAGCCATCTGAAAGTAAAACATCTTACTGTTTAATGTATTTAAAAAATGTTATTTCCTAGGAGCAGGGACATTTTATTACATAGCTATTCATTGAAACCAGGAAATTAGCACTGATGATGCACTGTTGTATGATCTATATTCCATACTTATATTTCATCAATTGTCCTATAATGTTGTTTGTATTTTTTCCATTGATTCTGGATCATTTGCTGAATTTAGTCTCCTTTAATCTGGAACAAGTTTCCAGCCTTTTTCTTAACCTTATTATTTTTGGAGAGTCGAGAACAGTTATTTTGTAGAATTTCCCTCAATTTGGATTTGCCTAATATCTCATGATTGCATTTTTGGTAAGAATATCAGAAATAAAACTCAATGCATCATCATACACAGTGACACATTGTAATAACTTGGGTCACTTAAAAGTAAGGTCAGAGGGGTTTTTTTGTTTTTAGGAGAATGAGTTACCTAAGGGGGATCTTTGATGGCATCAGATTGTACTCCATTACTGCCGAAAGCAGAAGAGTGGTTCCCCTATCCCAGGGCCAAAAAGGGAGTTGGAGGCAGCTTTTACAAAGATGAGAGGAAAATGTGATAGAAAATAAACTGTGTCCTGTAAAACTACCTTCTAATATTGTGAGGAGTGAGTGCTTTTGTCAAAGGACTTGGCACAGCCACGGGATAAATAGTAGCTTCCTTTATTAAAATATAAGTGGTGATGGAAAAAAGTATTCTATAAACAAAATAGTCAAAGTAGTATTCCAGCCAAATTGAGAAAAAGATAAGCAAAACAGTTGCTGAATATGATGCCCAGGTATTAGTATCTGCTACTACTTGAGTCATTCGTGAACACCCTTGAGTGTGCTATTTAAATACATTGCGGTTACTACTATTATACAAATTTCTAACACCAGCTACAGAATAGTATAACCTCCCATGTACTGAACCAGCTTTTAAGGATATATGCCTGTCCACTTCCTCAGATAACTTTGAGGGAAATACTAGGCATTATAGCTGAAGATAGTTCATTCAATATGTACCTACAAAAAATACCGCAAATTTCCTTAATCTATAGGGTGCCTATTTAAATGTCTGGTTTTGTCATACTGACAGCATTGATCTTTGTCTAGATCCATTAAACCATGAAGCCATGATTTTAAACTTTTTTTTTTCAGTTCATTGCAGTTCTCATTGATGTTACCTTGTTCCTTTGATCAGTGGGAGTCAGCTCAAGTTGTCTCCTGAGTTATTCTGAAACAACCCTAATAATAGTAGCTTCCTTGCTTTCTTGTGAGATTTCCAGGCTCTTTTAAATGTTTTGTTTTTTTTTTCTTTATTGATTTTTAGAGAGGAAGGGAGAGGGAGAAACATCAATAAGAGAGAACATTGATTGGCCGACTCCTGCATGCCCCCCACTGGGGATTGGGCCCACAACTTGGACATGTGCCCTGACCAGGAATCGAACCGGCGACTTCTTGGTATATGGGTCAATGCTCAACCACTGAGCCACACTGGCCGGACTCCAGGCTCTTTTTTTAGAGTTTAAAGTGAAAGAGTTTATTAGTGAAGTCCAGGTTTATCTCTTCAGTCCCATACCTGGAATTAGCCATTTCTCTAAGGAACCCTGATTCTTTTCATTTGGAAGTGGTATTTAGCAACCACAATCTGTGGTGCTTATTGCTACTGGTTTGGTCATAGCCAGGGAAACCATTGCCTGATTCTTCAGGCCGTAGAAGTCATGTTAACTTTCTGCTCTTGTGAAGGTCCTCTTCAGGCTAAAGGTCCCCTTGGCCCTGTCTCTGCAGCAGTTTTGAATCCCCTAACCATGTCGTTGTCCTGTACTGATTTGGGAGTGCCCCTCTTACTGCATGGGGTCCACTAGTAGACACAGCACTCCCAGTGTGTGCTACCCTGCACAGAGCAGAGCGTAGGGCTGTGATAGATGTTTCCTCAGCTGAATTCTGGGCCAGTTCTGGCAAAAGGGTGAGGAAACTTTAATACCCTGCAGAATCTCTTCTGGACCTTCAGAGGGTTTTTTCTGTTTTGTTTTTAAGATTTTTTGTTGATTTTTAAAAAGAGGGAGAGAGTGAAACATCAGTCAACTGCCTCCAGCACACCACCTACCAGGGAGCCCGCAACCCAGGCATGTGCTGGCATCAAGCCAGCAACCTTGCAGTGCACGGGAGGATGCCCATCCAACTGAGCCACACTGGCCAGGGCTCAGGGTTTAAAGCAGACAATGTGTCGTCTTGCTCTGGATAATAGGAGTAGAGGAAGAAGAAAATTCAGAACCTAGATTTCCATGTGATTCGCGAGTAGACCCACAGCATTATAATTGGAATGAGCAAATAAGATTTAAATTACAACTTTCATCACCTGTAGATGACTTTGCCCCTGTAGACCTAGCAGGAACTAAAGCCTAGATAGCTGGGGTTGTGATTGTAATAATGTGCTCATGGGTGTTTTAAGGAAGCCCTCAAAGAGTATAGCACCTGGAATCACCATGGCCCAAAGTCACATTCTTTAAATACCGGTTTTGCTTTTTTTAATCCTCACCCAAGGATATTTTTTCCATTGATTTTTTTGTTAGATAGAGTGGGAGGGAGGAAGGGAGAGAGAGAGACATCAATGGGAGAGACACATCAATTGGTTGTCTCCTGCT